GGTTTAAGGGTCGCCGTCCCTTCCTTCAAAATTAAATGTTTTAAACTTTAATTATTATTGGCCAACCAATTTTTTTGAATAGTTGAAGTTTTATTTTGTAATCCTCTATAAAAAATCTTTATGTAAGCTTGATTATTTATGCAAGAGAAATAAATTATTATTTCTTCGTTTTAAGTAAATTGAAGGTGACTTTTTTCTCTATTGGAGTTTCTTTTTGAGAGGCCTTAAAATTATTTTAGTTAATTTCTGCCGTGTTTGACTTATGCTTTCAAGCTCGTTGACCTTGACTTCTTTGAAATCTTTTATTTGATAGCGGTATGATATACGGTATGTAGGATCTTGATTTGATTGAATGGGTTGGTCGTGGAAACATTACGTCGGAAATAGAAAAAAATGGTATTTAAGGTTTTAGCAAAATTGAGGTTGAAACTTCTAATGATGCAACATCAACGCAAACATTAAGGATTAAGATCATAAATCAAGACACTATATAAAGGTTTGATTTTGATAGTGCCGTGCCAATATAGCATTCATAATAATCCACAAATAAAAATCATCTAAACAGTAAGGAGCCTCTAAATCATAGGAGTTCATATAAATCATTCAAACAAATAAGAATATCTAATTTGTAATAATACTGGTAAAGAAAAATTAAAATTAATACCATTTGATACCTATTTTCATTTTTTTTTCTTCTTTTAGAAATATACTCTTCTATATATTATTTTAATTCAAGTCAGTATTTCCAAAAATAAATATTTAAACAATAGGTTAATTTAAAGAGTAATTTATTGAATAATTATAGTTATATTGTGTACTAAACTTTAATGCATATGCTTTAACATGCAAGTGGTTAAAAAATGCAAGTGGTTAAAAAATGATAAAATATTAAAATTTCATTCTTATTAATTTGTTTAAGTATTAGAGAGAGTCGTCTTAGATGGTTTGGTTACATTAAACGTCGACCATATATGATGATCCGATTAGAAGAGTAATTAGAAGAGTAGATGTTTTAGATTCGACTTATGTTAGGAAAGGTAGAGGACCTAGGAAGACTTGGCTATATTGTATAAACAATGATTTTAACTTATTATATTTAAGTGATAATATGACACTAAATAGGACGCAATGGACAAAAAGGATTCTTGTAGCCGACCCCACTTAGTGGGATAAAGGTTTTGTTGTTGTTGTATTAAAATGTTTAATAAATTCATTATTTTTATATATATTTCATTTGAAAATCCATCTCAAGAGCACCATCTAAAATATTGCATCAATTAATGTACAGTTATCATTTCTATTTTTTATTTCCAATTTTATTTCCATTTTCAAGCCTTTTTTATTTTTAGTTTCATCAATATTTAAGATTACACAATCTGCGATGTGCCTTGAGGCCTGCTTGATACCAGAGTTAACTCAAAACAATACTAGAAAAGGGGAACACATTTCATGTACAAGCATAGTTCCTGGTGGTTTTGTCCAGCCTTTTTCATGTAGCTGACCCCACGTAGTGTGATGAACGCTTTGTTGTTGTTGTTTGTTTTTTTGATGTCTTGACTTTCTTTGATTGTTTAATATTTGTATTATTCATTTTATTTTATAAGTTGGTGTTAGGATATTAACATGTCACATGTAAATTTACGCAATTATTTTATTTTTTTACTTAGCTAGAATGTTGTTATATTATTTTTTAATGTGTTAACAAGTTAGAATATCTTGCTTCACATTTATAATTTATTCAATATTTATTAATTTGTACAATTTTTTAAAGTTCGAGGCTTATGCCTCAAGACATCTTTTGGCTTAAATTTCGCCTCATGAACAAAAAATGCTCCAGCACCCAATTACGCAATTTTAAATGTTGGGTGACCAGAGGCATGTATTGAAGTAAATAACTATAGGATGTTTAAGCCCCACTTGAGACTTCATCATTTAGTGAGGGTTTCTATGCTGCTAAAGCACTTGTGATTCACTTTGGTTTTAACTAATAGGAGATCAGGGATATAAAGTAATATTTTGTGAAATTGTGGAACCAGTTTGTAGGTTATGTAGAAAAATTGAGGCCTAGTTTAATTTATCAAATGCAATTTTTAGCTTTTTAAAATTGTTGATGAAGCATTGTTATTTATGCTAGTTTTGACCGTTAAGGATTTGGTAGGATCTCTATACGATTTAAATCATGTTCTAATCTTAACAAGTCAATCAATTAAGAAACAAGCTGCACAAAAGTCCACATTGGGGTTAAGGAGGGACTAATTACTTTGATGGATAGATTAAGAGAGAATGTCATTCATTCAAAGGATATGAGATGTCATGAAGTTCTCTATTATATGATATGATTTTCTATTTCTAGTATTATCACATTCATAAATGTAGTATTTATAATCAAGGATATTACTTTAAAAATAAAAGCTATTATCTAGTATGATGATATCCTCAAGATGTTTTGTATGTGAAAAAATTCTCTTTCAATATTGATCCTTAATTGTCGGAGATTAACAAAAAATATTAGCATATATTTGGCTTGTCCCTTCGCCTACATGAGGGGATTATGGTAATTCTTTTATTTAATGAAGAATATACTAAACTTTTAATTACAAAACTTACATAACTAGCAACACTTACCTTTCAGCCATTAACAAAAGTTTCTCTCACATTGGTCTATCGATCCAAGTGATTCTCTTTATATGCAGAAGAGGACAGTCTATTTAATAGGCTCTGCCAATGGTGAAGTTGACTCTAAGTAGGGTTATTAAGTGGCCTTCATATGATTTGTCTGAATAAAACTAATATTTATTAGGACTCAACAAGGCCAACCAAAATAATATTTGGCTAGGTAATGGTGTAATTGAGATTTATATGGGCATGAACTAAAATTAAACTAGATTTTTGATTTGCATGAGGTTCTTTGTGAACTACAAATGAGCGAATGTGCAAGTGGTGGTGCCTTTATTGAATTATTAATCTGCAAGAAATTTGATGATTCTAGTAGCACTGTCAACAAAGCTAAAGCCTAACAAATTTTGGCCAATGATCTATTCTCTCTTTAAATTTTCTTTTACTTTTTTTTTAATGTGTTTGTGCTTCTTTCACTTATCAAACAAAGATGATGGCAGTGGGAGTTTCTTTATAAAAGGCGTTCTAGTATTGTTAATTGATGCTTTTAAGTCTAGGTGCACTTGTACTTTGGAGCCTCACGCAAGTGTATGTATCGCTTTTGTAATATAGAATTTTTGAGTCCAGA